ATTCATGCTTCAATGACAGTGTCCTGGGGGGGTAGGTCTTATTTAATATTTTTAGGCAGTGGATAAGTGAAACTGTTGGTACTGATCCTGCAGATATCACAGTCCTACTGCATATTTTAATTTAATCCCGTTTGTGATACTGTGGCAAAATACACAGTCAAGTCTCAGGTTCAAAGCCAGACATCTACACATTAAAAGATCTCACTTAGCCAAGACAGGAGGCACCTTTGAGGACTGTGTTCACCTAGAGCAGAGATGTAAATGCAATGTGGTGATTGTGTTTGACTACAGAGCTTTGGCTGAAATCTGCACTCTACCATGAAGCTCGCTAGAGGCCCATGGGACAGCCTCGTTCTCTCAGCCAGGTCTACCTCACAGGACAGTTCTGAGGATGAAAACGGGAAGAAAGACCATTTATCCCATCTTGCATTCCTTGGAGGACGGACGGACGGACAGACAGACCAAATGCTAAGAAAATAGTGAAATGATTTATTATCAGGCAACTCCATGTGTGCAGTCTTGCTGCCCTTTCTAATATTTTTAAGACCACTGAATGCAAAACCTCACAAAGCTTTTTGAATTTCTCAGGCATCTGGATATACTTTCATCCCAACATTTGCAACATGCTGTTCTCAGATGCTATATAAAATTACTCGTAAGTAGAAGAAACTGACCCTTGATCTTAGTGATGTGCCGTTATGCATAAGAACCAGGGAGAGCTGTTCATCACAGTCTGCTTGCTGAACTTTTCTGCCCTGCTTTTACTCATGTCAAACATAAGGGTGGTGTGTGAAATTAACAATGAGTTAAGATCCATTAAAAATTAGGAATCTTGGTATTTCAAGACAATCAGGCATGACGAAATAATCAGTCCGCATCAGACTGAAGGATAATATAAGTGACCTTTAATTTCTTATGCCAACCATTAATAAATCAACAATATAATCAACTAATACTGTATGTCCCTGGGGCAGATTAGGTCCAATTCCAGCCAAGGTTTGGTTCTCAAGATTCCTCAAATCCTCAGAACATACCGCAAAACATTTACCTTAAGTGGATGCTCTAAACTTCGTAAGAGGTGTAGGGATTGATGTCTGGGAAATTCATTGTCAAACAAGGTACTTTTCTGTATTGTTGCTACCTGGCCTTAATGTTCATTGCTAGGATAAATTAAAACAAACAACAAAATAAACAGGAAAATAAGGGGGGAAAACATTCTCATGAAAATATAAGCAGTTTTTCATCTTAGGAAGTGGGTTTATTCAGCCTTGTATTGTGTGGAGAAAAAGAAAAGAGGATATGACTTTCCTCCTTCCTCTGCATTTTGGAACTTGAGGTCATTCAATGAAATTGATTGGCAGAAGATGCAATACAAACAAAGGAGAGTACATCTTCACACAAGAAAAAGTTAATTTGCAGATATTACCAGCATACAACTTGGTGATAACCTTTAAAGGAGGACTGGCAGGTATATGGAGGATAAATCTCTCCTATGTTGATTTTAATCCTTTGAATGTGGATCTTTATGTAGCCAAATCAATACCTCCTATGCACAGCTGGGAGTTGGCAGCAGGTATACAACTTGGTGATAACCTTTAAAGGAGGACTGGCAGGTATATGGAGGATAAATCTCTCCTATGTTGATTTTAATCCTTTGAATGTGGATCTTTATGTAGCCAAATCAACACCTCCTATGCACAGCTGGGAGTTAGCAGCAGGTAGGAGAAGAGGGAGTTAGCAGAAGTATGACAACTGAAAAGGGGATATCTTTTTTAAAAAGTTGCTCTAGAATGTTGGCTGAGCCTTATGGAGCGATGGTTAAATTGAAGTACTGCAGTGAATACTCTGCTCACAACCTGAGTTCAATCCCAGGCTCAAGTACAGTATCTGGCTTGATGTTGACTCAGCCTTCCATCCTTCCCAGGTCAGTAAATTGAGTTCCCAGCTTGCTGGGTGGAGGCAATGTGTAGCAGGCATAATTAAACTGTAAACCACCCAGAGAGAGCTTTAAGCACTATAGGGCAGTATATAAGCAGCACAGTTTATTGGATGGACAATAATGGGAAACAGAGAAGCAGGAGGGAATAGAATGCATTGGACTGAATAAGGACAAGACTCAGTGAATTTTAAACAGTGGCACTCCACAATGCAACAGTCAGTATATTCTGTTGGCGTTCTCACTTGCCATTAGCAGTAGAATAGTACAGTATCTGGCTTGATGTTGACTCAGCCTTCCATCCTTCCCAGGTCAGTAAATTGAGTTCCCAGCTTGCTGGGTGGAGGCAATGTGTAGCAGGCAAACTGTAAACCACCCAAAGAGAGCTTTAAGCACTATAGGGCAGTACATAAGCAGCACAGTTTATTGGACGGACAATAATGGGAAACAGAGAAGCAGGAGGGAATAGAATGCATTGAACTGAATAAGGACAAGACTCAGTGAATTTTAAGCAGTGGCACTTCACAATGCAACAGTCAGTATATTCTGTTGGAGGACTCACTTGCCATTAGCAGTAGAATACCAAATACAAGATAGACTGACTCCCTAAAGGAAGCCACAGGCTTCAGTTTACAAGAGCTGAACAGGGCAGTTAAGGACAGGAACATGTTGGAGATGGCTCATTCATAGGGTCACCATGTTGGAAGGGACTTGACAGCACAGATCAATCAACAACACTTTTATAATGGTTAGATGAAAATTTCCACATTCGAAAGTGCTATGGTACTGAATAATACAATGTTAGTGATAGGGGCTTCAATACTGTTTGGCCCTGGAGGAAGTAGCTTGCTGAAGATGATGGGCTTTGAGTCTGATCCAGGATTGCTTTCATGTTCTGAATGACTGGTTCAGTTAATTTCAGAAGTCTGCTTTCTACAAAAAAATAGTTTCATGATTTAAAAGACAAAAGGGTTGAGCTTTGCTCCAAAGTTTCCTTCCCCCTGATCATGTGAGGAGCTTAATTTTACTTATTTGATGGCAAAAAAATGCATTCTGCACATAGGCTGCCATTAGTTTAGGGATGAATATTGCACCAAGACCTAAGTTTCAAAAGGGCAGCATGTGGGCTGTGCTCCGAGAGAATTCTCAAGACTTCCACATATGTTCAACTAGGGAAGAAAACAACAGGAATGAATGCTGAATTTACCAAGGTCCATCGACATTCTAGAATTAATTTCATTTTGAGCATCAACCAAACATTATGGCTCAGACTCCTCACATACCAGGCCTGCAAATCACAGCCTTCCTTTCTGGTTATATTTGACACTCAGATCCATACAGCCTCAAGGGAGATCAAGGCTTTATGCAGCCAGCACAGCTAATAGAGCGAAGAGAGATCCATCCCATCTGACAGCCACTCCAAAACCTGGTGTCCTCCAAATGGGTGACTGTAACTCACATTACATCAGCTGGCTGGGGATGATGGGTTTTACAGTCAACACGTCTGAAAGGTATCTGCTTGGAGTAAGCTGCTCTGGCAGTCCACAGAAGTTTATGCTAAATATAATAATATAATCTTAGGACTGCAAAGCTGGAAGGGATCTTATGGATCATAAAGTCGGGCCCTTGTCAAGGAAGCACAGTGAGGAATCAAAATCCTAACCTCTTGCCCCAGGATACCTAATTTAAAGGTGCCACAGGACTCTGTTGTGTTTGTCTAAGACTGTTAAAAACCATCAGCATTCCTGTGACACCGAATCTGATAAGTCAATGTTATGGTTTCTAATGGAGTATTCCCTACCTTGAAACCCCTGAAAAGGGTCAGAATTGACTTAACAGCACATGATGATGATGACTTTATTACATACGTGAAGAAGAACCAAATGAAGGGTGAAGCTGCTTGGACCACATCCCCCATCAAATGAAAATGTCTTCACAACTCATTCATTGTAACTGCCGTCGGAAATGGCAAATCTACACATACTCATGATAAACTGTGAACAATCCTGCCAGTTCTATGCTCCCCCACCCACCGTCGTGCCCAAACTCCTGGTGTTTTCTTTCCTTTCACTGCCGGTCTGTTTCAACTGTATTCCAAAATAACATTTGCGTGCTGCCTGCTCGATCACCTCTTTTCATGCCACTTTATGCCACAGGAGAAGAACCTGTGGATTCTGTATGGAGCTGGGAAGATGAGACACCATATCTGTCTGACAGTGTCTTTCCCCCCCCCCCGATACACACACAAAACCACACACGAGATCTCCCCATCTCCCAATGGATGGAGATACCTCCCTCCCTCCCTCCCTCTCTCTCTCTCTCACACACACACACCAGAGAAAGAGAGAGAGAGAGAGCATAAAGATCTCCCCATCCCCGGACGGTTCCCCTCTCCAACTTGCCAACAAAGGACCTGTGGCCACCGAGAGGCTGCTCGTCTCC